AATTCCTAGTATTATACACACACACACACACACACACACACACACACACACACAGAGCAAATCCCATCATCCCACCCCTGGGCAGGGGTGTGGCTCAATGGTACACTTGTCTAGCATGTTCTAGGCTTTGGGTTCTATCCTAAGCACCAAAACCAGAAAATCCTAGTTATCATTTCAACTCTTAACTACTTGTTATCTCTTCTCTTTTACAGACACTTAATTTTTAATGTAACCACAATTCTATTTTACACCTAGCAAAATTAACAGTGATCTCTTCATACCATCTGATACTAAGTTTATAATGTTTACCCCAGGTTTTTTTTTTTTTTTTTTGCGGAACCGGGGATTGAACTCAGGCCCTTGTGCTTGCCAGGGAAGTGCTTATTCCACTGAGCCATCTCCCTGGCCCTCCCCAGTTGTTTTGAAATACTCTGTTCTTATCTCTTTCACCTTTCCTTTCTCTCTTTCTCTGTCCCTCTCATGGTCCCTTCCTCCCTCCCTCTGACTCTTTCCTTCTTTGGCTAGCACCTTTGGTTCTCTGTTCTGTCCTAATATCCTTTCTGTGTCCTTCTGACTTGGGGATTCGAGGCTTCTCCCCTGTCCATCCTTCTCCAGGTTGGGAGAGAGTAGGTAGAGAGCAGTGTGACTGTGAGCAAGAGGTGCCCTCCTGTCCTCATGCAGCACCCAGGCTGGCGGGGCAGGGAACTGGGACAGGGCAGGCCTCAGTGGAAAGAGTGGAGGGTGGGTAGGACTTGTCGGGTGGCCTCAGGCTGAGGCAGGTCCTTGGGGTCAGCAGGCATCCACACTGTCCTATTTCCGGGTGGCCTCAGGCTGAGGCAGGTCCTTGGGGTCAGCAGGCATCCACACTCTATTTCCCTGCCTGCTCTTTCTAGGATGATCCCCGGGCTCCACGGCAGCGGTTGCAGAAGCAGCTAGCCGAGTACCTGCGCCAGAGCTGGGGTCCAGTGGGGGCTTCCACACAAGCCCGAGACCTGGGAGAGCTGCTGCAGGCCTGGGGTTCTGGGGCCAGGACCAGTGCCCCCAAGGGCTCCCGCTTCACACATTCAGAGAAGTTCACCTTCCAGCTGGTGGGTAGTCCTGAGTGGACATGGGGGTGCTGATGGGGTAGGGCAGGCTCGAGGGCTGCTTTATGTATAAATGCCACTTTTTTCCACAAGGTTCCTGTGTGCCTGCTGGGTAGACCCACTCTCCACTGGGGAGGGATCCAGAGGATTCCCCTAGCTCAGTGATGGTGAACCTTTTAGAGCTTCCAGTGATCACTAACAGCCTTCTGAGGCACACATGCCATAGGTTTGCCACCACTGCCTAGTTTCTTTGGACTTCAGTGGAGAAGGGGCAGATTGTGGGAATGATGTCAGGGTCAGGGGTGTTCTTGGTACACTCCTACCTTTCCTAATTTTTTCCTAGGTTTCGCTTCCTTTGGATGCTTCCCAGTGGTGGCCTGTCTTTCTCATGGGCATTTGGGGCAGCTGTGTCAAGCTGAGGGAGGGCTTTTTGGGGGGGTAAATACTCTGGTCTGATGTCGTAGACTGTGCCTCTAATGTTCCTGTAGTCATAGTTTGACAGCTGTGTGGGTGTGGATATGGCATTGGGGGGTTGTTCTGGGGTGCCTGCCATGATAAACAGGCCTTCCCTGACATCTGTGGTGTCCTTTCTCATGCTTCTAGGAGCCCCAGGCTCAGACAACTCAGGTTACAGATATGCCAGTCACTTCTCAGCGTCCTGAACAGGTGAGCAGAGCAGTGGAGGGGACAGACCTGGGCCCTTGCCTGTCTTCTGGGCTGACACCTCCACCTCAACTGGTGTGTGCCTCCCAGGACATGCGTGCAGCTCAGGAGCAGGAGCTTGAGTCCCTTCGGGAGCAGCTGGAGAGTATGAACCGTAGCATGGAAGAAATTGAAGCTGATATGAAGACACTGGGAATCAGCCTTGTGCAGGTAAGAGACTGGGTCAGAAATAGGGCCTTAAGCAGGGCGAGAGGTCAGCAGATGTCAACAGGCTTTGTGTGTGGGGGATGGGGACCTCTGGAGCTCCTGGGAGTTCAGGAGAATCAGTGCAGGTAAAAGGGGATGTGAGGCTGGGGGCTTGGTGGGCCTGAAGGATCCTGTGGTGGGTAGCTGTGAAAGTCTGTGGGCGTTGGTGGGTCTGTGTGGGCAGGTGCTGATCAGTTCCTCAGGGCTTTGGGGAATTTTCACACCGCTGGAGGGTGAGAGGGCCTGGAGTGGCCAAAAGGCCATGTTGTCATATATGAGGTCAAGGGCTGGGCCAGTGCTGCTTAGGTTTATTGGGGCCGGGGGCCATCATGTGTGACAGGTAGAGTCTGAATGTCGGCAGAGTGAGCTGAGTACAGCAGAGCGGGAGCAGGCCCTGCGTCTGAAGAGCCGTGCAGTGGAGTTGTTGCCTGATGGGGCTGCCAACCTTGCCAAGCTGCAGGTGGGCTGGGGCTGAGGCTGCAGCTGGGTCAGAGGGGCAGAGTTGCATGGGCCCAGCCTGTGTGACATGTGCCGCCTCACAGCTTGTGGTGGAGAGCAGTGCCCAGCGTGTCATCCACCTGGCAGGCCAGTGGGAAAAGCACCGGGTCCCACTTCTAGCTGAGTACCGCCACCTCCGGAAACTTCAGGACTGCAGGGAGGTAGGTGATGGGGTCCTGTGTTATGGGTGGAGTTAGTCTGGCACCTCCTTAGGGGACAGTCCCTGAGTTCTGCTCACTGCCTCTCACCATGGGCTCCTGGCAGCTGGAATCTTCTCGACGGCTAGCAGAAATCCAGGAGCTGCATCAGAGCGTTCGAGCAGCTGCTGAAGAGGCCCGCAGGAAGGAGGAGGTCTACAAGCAGCTGGTAAGACCCATGTGGGTCCCCAGGGTGCAGGTGCGGTGGGAGCGGGCTGATTCTAGGAGAGTGCGTTTGTGACCCCGCCACCTAGGTGTCAGAGCTGGAGACGCTACCAAGAGATGTGTCCCGGCTGGCCTACACCCAGCGCATCCTGGAGATTGTGGGCAATATCCGGAAGCAGAAGGAAGAGATCACTAAGGTGTGCCATTCCCTGGCTGGCAGGTCCTATTGGCAGATAGGTGTGGGGTGTCATGTGGGGTCCCTATGACTTCTGATAGGTAGAGCTTTCCAGGCACACCAAGACACGGAACAGTCACACACAGTCTACCCGAGTCACCCCTGATGAAGTGACACATGCCCTGAGAGTACCCTCATCAGGCTGGTCACCCTGCCCCAGGCTCGGGCTCATAGTCTCATTGGTGTTTGCCAGATCTTGTCTGACACAAAGGAGCTTCAGAAGGAGATCAACTCTCTCTCTGGGAAGCTGGACCGGACGTTTGCAGTGACTGATGAGCTTGTGTTCAAGGTGCGGGAGAGGCCAGCCCATGTGTAGGTTGGGCTAGGGTGCTGTGTGAGTCCTAGAACACACTGATGCTGGGGCCTGGCTCTGCTCTGAGTGGGTGGGAGAGGTGGCTCTGTGGTGGCATGGAGGTGGCAGTGGGGGGAAAGGGGGCTTTCTGGCACTATCTTTAAGGTTCCCTCTGCCTGGTCAGGATGCTAAGAAGGATGATGCTGTTCGAAAGGCTTACAAGTACCTAGCTGCCCTGCATGAGGTGAGAAGGGCAGTGCCTGGGACCTGGGTGGGAGGGGCTGGCTTGTGTATAAGTCTTTTGTGTCTGCTGTTCCCAGAATTGCAGCCAGCTCATCCAGACCATTGAGGACACAGGCACTATAATGCGGGAGGTTCGCGACCTTGAGGAGCAGGTAAGACTTGGGGGTTAAAACTTTGGAGGGGGCAGGCCAGGGGGCCAGCTCCTTGTTTTCTGCTGAGTGGCTGTGGGACTGGACAGAGTCTATGGCTAGAGGCTTAACCCTCCTCTTAGTATCTGTGCCTGGGACTTGGCTAGCTTAGCGGTCTAACCCAAGCCTGGGCTTTGGCCTTGAGGGTCCTCATGCCTGCCTCTTAGAGCTTTGGGTGCCTTAGGTGGAGGGAATGACACATGCCAAGGCCTGGCAGTGGAAGGAGCAGGCTGTCATTGCAGGGGTGGGAGGGGCCCAGGTGGCTGCCCTGGAAGAGGTACTGAGCTGAGGGAATGTGCATCATATTGCCTTAGATCGAGACGGAGATGAGCAAGAAGACGCTCAGCAACCTGGAGAAGATCTGTGAGGACTACAGAGCCCTCCGCCAGGAGAATGCTGGCCTCTTAGGCCGGGTTCGGGAGGCCTAAGGAGTCCCTGCTGGAGGTCCCTCCAGCCACAGGCAGGGATTTGGGGTAATGGAGAGAGCACTTGTGCTAGCTGTTGTGTTGGCCATCCAGTTCCTTCCATTGAGGCCTTAGTCCCAACGCCTCCCCACCTGACCCCAAGCCCAATGTTGGGTGTTAGCCCAGCATGTAGAAGTGGCTGTAGTTTATTGGAGAGGGCACTGGGGGCTGAGGGCCTTGGATCCCAATAAAGGGGGCTCTTCTGCAGTCTAGCTGAGGCATGGCTTGGCTTGGGAGGGAGTGAGTGGCTGCCAGGGGAGACAGCCAGCACCTTTTGGTGAGTCAGTGTCTCTTCATGGGACACAGGAGACACACGGGAGATCTTTGAGTGTGTATGTGTGTACACAGGTGCGAGGCACACAGACAAGTCTTAACAGGCTATGACTAAACACTTGTGTTGGGAGGTGCACAAGACCCTAAGTAACCAGTTAAGTCTGTGTGGCTTTCTGTAACCTGCGGTCCTGAAGGTACTGATGCTGCATCTGCAGGGGCCTGGGCACCTCTGCATGACCTTGCAGCTGTCGGCCCAGAGGTTGGCTGTAGCTTCGTGCTTCTGGGTATGTGAATTGACAGGATTGCACTCACATGTGACTTTATGTGACTACATAGCATTGAGGACATTTGAGTATACCAAGGCAAGGTCTTTGTATCTTAGGGTTTGTGTGTGTGTCTAGGAGACACGTGTGTGTGTGTGTGTGTGTGTGTGTGTGTGTGTGTATGAGACTTTTCCACATTGAGGTCATCAGTGAGGAGGCTGAGGCCGCTGTGTGTGTGGCTGGGTTTGAGAGGCCATCTTGGGGGGCTGTGGTGGAGGTAGGGGCTGGGCTGGGACTGGAGCCCCTTTGAACAGCCTTGGGGCAGAAGATCCAGGAGGGCAGCTAAGCTGGGGAGCAGGGGCTGTGGCAGGGGAGACAGTGGATACCTCATTTTCAGACACCGTGGACATATCCAGGACCTGTCAGCCCTGCCCCCACCACCTCTGCCCCAATTTTGACCCTTTCCATCCTTCTTCCTTTCCTTGGCTTTGAGGTCAGGGGCCTGGTGTTGGGTAGGAGCACCTGCTGGGCCGCTGGTTTCTTTTCTTGCGGAACTCAAATTCATCCACGGTCCACACAGCCCCCTTCTCACTCTCCACCCGCACGAAGCACTTGTGCAGGCTCAGGTTGTGGCGGATAGCATTCTGTGGAAGGACAACCAGCTCGGCCAGGGCAAAGGTAGGCAAAATCCACTGAGCCCAGCAGCCCACACCCACACCAACCTCCTGACTCTCTTCTGTCTTGGAGACCAGCCCTAGTTCTGCCTGCTCCTGAGCCATATTGGCACTTCAGACCATCCAGCCACTGCCACGTCCAGAGCTACTCACCTTCCAGGTGGCAGGGTGGTTTCTGAAATAGGCAAACATGCGTGTGAACCAGCGGTAGATTTCATTGAGTGTCCGCTGCTTCTCAGGAGCCTCCAGGATGGCCTAGAGCAGTGATGATGAACCTTTTAGAGTTGTTTTTCTTTTTGAGACAGAGTCTCACTATATAGTTCAGGCTGGTCTTGAAGTCACTATGGAGCCAAAAGTGGCTTTGAACTCAAGGTAGTCCTCCTGCCTCAGCCTTCTGAGCACTGGGAGTACATGTGCCACCACACTCAGTTTATAGCTTTCAATGCTACAAACAGCCTGCTGCAGTACATGCCATAGGCTTAGCACCACTGGCTTAGAGGCTCTGGTAGGGTAAGAAGAGTACCTTCCAAGTCAGGATTAGGAGGGGCAGCGGTCTATCCTGTCTCATTTGGGGGTGGGCTTGGGATAGGGTAAAGAATTGGACAGGGTTAGATGTAAGGTGAGGCTCCGGGTCAGAGGTGGGGTTAGCAGGCGGGTGAGCACCTGAGAAGTGGTGAGTTTAGACTCAGAATGTAGCTCACGCTGGCTGGGCTAGTGGTTTAGGTTTGGGTTTGGGAAAGGTCTGGGGTGAAGTCAGCAGGAGGGGTCACATCTGAAGCATGGCTTAGGCACCTTAGGGCTTTGTTAATGGAGGAGCCCACAATGAGGGTACTGACTGAGAGGTAGGCTCCATTGCTGCTTTCTCATCCTCCTCGAGCTGGAGCTGCTCTACTTACCCAGCGAATGAGGGTGGCATAGGTGAAAGGGGGCCGCATGTTGTGAAACTTGAAGTAGTCCATGTTGTGGAAGAACTCTGGCAGTGAGTGGGGACAAGTCAGGCCCCACCCAGGACTTCATTTTGTCCCACCCTCCCCAACAGTGTGAATCCGAATACCTGGAATCCCACCCTTAACTCGCGACTCTGCGCCCACACACTGGGTTGCTGAGCCCCTGAGTTGTATCAGTTCCTCCTTGTATCACCCTTCCGTGGTTCTCCCAGAGCTTGAGGAGAAGTCATTTGTACAACAGAAGCATGTGAATGACAAATTGGCAGGGCCAGGATGACACTCAAGGACTCTGATCCCTGTTAGAGTCACAGCCCAAGTGTGGTGGATAGCAGGGGATTGGTGAGCCCAAGTGACTCCATCCCAGTTTTCCTTGGTGGTGGGGTGAGGAAAGAAGGATCCTTAGGAATGACTTAGCTCGGTTACCCCCTCTGCTGATGGCCACATGGGACATCAAAAACCCAAAGCAGGGAGTCATGGCTCCTGTCCTCAAGTGAGATAGGGCTAGGGCTAGACATTTGTGGTCATAATAGGCTTTTGGGTTATAGAAATCCAGAGAGGAAGCTTTTGCAAGCAGGTGGATTTTCCTGAAGTCTGTATACTGGAGGGGGAAGCACTACAGAGCTCCTTCACAACCACCCCCTAACCCCCATATCATTGATGATTAGGATCTTGGGATTAGAAGCTTAGGATCAGCTGGTATGGTGTGGACCACTCTCACCTGAGAAGGTGCCATTTCCATGGCTGCCCCAGAGATGCCTCCGCACAGCACACAGGCTATCGGAGGCCTCCTGGGGGCTGGGCCACCCTTGGCCACCGTTGCTGTGGGTGCCAGCAGCTACAATGCAGCAGGACCCCTTGTCAGCTGATGCCTGGGGAAGGCAGGAAAGCTGGTGATCCAAATGCTTAAGCTTTATCACTTTTGATACCACTGTTTTTATTTATATTTAAAGAACGTGGGTCTTGTTATGCTACCCAGCCTGCCTTGAACTCTTGGGCTTAAACAGTCCTCCTGTCTCAGCTGGGACTACAGGTGGGACACCCCTGCACCTGGCTAAGTCAGGGTCTTTAATTTTGTTTTTTTTTTTTGCAGAACCAGGGATTGAACTCAGGCCCTGAGCTTAGCCAGGCTAGTGCTTATTCCACTGAGCCATCTTCCCAGCCTAGTCAGGGTCTTTAAGAGTGAGGACACCTTTACCTTTTGAATTCTAGTCTGATGTAGAATCACTCCCATTGAGCAGTATGAGCTGTATTTGTTAGCATGCAGCCACGTGCACTTTGTGCAGCCAAAGACGCTGCAGCCACAAGCTGATGCTGAATTGGGCTCCTCTCGCACCCCACTACGACTTTGGGATGGGAGAGTCAACTAAACCCTTCTGGCCTCAGTTTTCATCTGTGAGTTGGGGACCATAATGGTAGCAACCTAGCAGCCTGATGAAATTTGAGTAAGTTAACACCAGCAGAGTGCCGAGACCGTGCCTGGCACCCAGAACAAGCTTCATGAGTGTGAGACCTGTGTGATGATAAAGGACCCTGCGCTTTGGTGCGCTGAGGTTGCAATCCTGAAGGCTGGACCTGAGGCCCTGCAGTCACAAAGCTAGTGTCATGGAGGTACACAGCCTGCCTTCCTAGGCATTAGGCTATGTGCTGTGGCTATGCAACTTCAGGAGCACAATATTCCGGGATCGTAGAATCAGAAGGTTTGTAGGTGGAGAGGACAGATTTTTAGGCCTGGCACGTGTGGAGCTTGTGGGGCCCTACCTAGTCCAGCTGAGTGTAGTACCTCCCTCCATGCTCCCCAGCAGTCTAGGTCTGTCCCCAAAGGTCCCAGGTAGCTCACCACTGCTGAAGTCTTGGTGAGTGCCATTTTCCCTGCAAGGTGGGCCTGCATAGCACTCAGTTTCTCCTTTTCCAGGACCAGCTGTGGGGATGGGCACAAAAGTGAGGCTTTACACAGGCTTTTCTCTACCACATGGTTGCCCAGGCTGTGGCTGTTCCTGTGAGCACCCTTTACTCCCTCCCAGTATGCAGCTCTCATCAAAGGTTTCCTGGCACAGGGTGGCCATAAGGCTTGCCCAGCATTCCTGCCCCACCTGCCCCTGCAGGCCTTACCTGCTGCTCCAGAGACTGCACTACCTCTCGCTGGAGGAGACACTGTGCCCTGCCCTTCTCATCTGGGAGGTGGTCCACCTGGCAGTGCCTGTGTAGGAGAAGCTTCTATACAGCTGGCCATGGTGGGCTAGCCTCCTAGCTTTGTGTTTGGCTTGGGGATGGCCCACACTCTTGGGGAGGTCTCCTTAGTCTCAGCTCTCTTCTCTTCTGACCCTCAGGCTCTCCCTTACATCTGTCTCCCTTCCTGCACATGTTCCCTCAGCATCTCCTGCTGCTGGGCCTGATCTCACCCTTTGAGTCTGGCCAGGTGTTGGTGAAGGTATTGGAGGGGTGGAGGATGGAGAGTAAGCCAGACTGGTGAGGGCAGAAGTGGTATTCTAGATACAGGAGAAAGCTTGTGCAAAGGCCTGGCAGGGCAGAGAGCAGAGTATGCAGAATTGCTAACAGTTTGGTTAAGTAGAAAAGTCGTGTGTGTGTGTGTGTGTGTGTGTGCGCGCGCGTGTGCGCGTGCAGGCACGTGCAAGTGGGGCTGAGGAGAGGCAGCAACAGCCATCGAGAGGAGCTGGGGTTTGGGGATCAATAGCATGGTGTGCTGGCATGAGGGGTAGCAGGGCAAAGGATGTGCATTTGGAAGCCTAGCTGCCTAGGTGCAAATCTCAGCTGTGTAACTTAGGAACTTGATCAAGACACTTACTGTCTTTGGGCTGTTCTCTGATATGTAAAATGGAAGTAATATCAGTGTACAGTGTTCTGTTGTGCTCCATTATACACACAAGGAAACTGAGGCCCAGAACAGCTAAGTAACTTGGCCAAGGTCACACACCTGGAGTGTGATGAAGTTGGGATGGAACCTAAGGCTCAGCCATTATTGCCTCGCATCTTCCTATCAGGAGGAGGCCTGAGTTGAGATGTATAGCACAGACCTCTCTTTATAAAACAGGACCCTCAGAGCAGGGTAGACCCAGGCCACTCACTTGAGGAAGTCCTCTGGCTCCTTGAAGACCTTCTCACAGCCGGGCCACTTGCAGATACCATTTGCCAGCAGAGGAAAGGAGCCCTGGGGCATGGCTGAAAGGGTGCTGGGGAACAGACAGTGTCAGGGGTAGGGACAGGAGGGTAAGAGGGTCCTTCCCAGGCCTGCCTACTCACCTTTCCTTCCTGGGGGCACTGGGGCTTGGGAAGGTACAGAGCAGTGCCGGCTCCCTGGACACCCACTCCAGGCTGGCCACGTTGATTCCTGCAGGCAGGGACAGCACGTGCACTACAGCTCAGCCCACAAGTCTCCCCCTCCTGACTTTGGCATTCTGACTCCCAGGGAACTCTGCTGTTGCTACCATCCAAAGCTGGCACAGCAGCTCAAACGCAGACACTGGCAAGTGCTGACATGTTGGCTAACTGCAAAGATCTGTAGTTCCATGCTTTTGACATTCTGTCTTTAGGGTTCTGAACTTTACATTTTTGGGAGGCTGGAGTTTCCATGAATGAGATCTGAATCCTTGGACCTCCATAGGCTGCAGTTCACAACAGTCTACACTGCACATGTTCAAGGACTTGGGGACTCTAGGGGTTCTGTGATGCCACAGAGTATGGGCTGAAGTGTTACCAGGTGGTAGGCCAGGTCGGGCCTTGAAGGAAAACAACCCAGTGGCAGCAGTGGGTGGCGGGAGGCTGATCATGGCTGGGTTGTCCAGTGGGCGCACCTGTAGCACAGAGGTCTGGGCATGGGCATCCACTGCGGAGAGCTGCAGACACATGGGGCATGGTATAATCTGACTTGGGGCCTCCTACCCACTTGCCCCTCCCCCCAGCCTGTTCAGCATTCATACCTGGTGCATAAAGTGTGGCCTGTCCTGCAAAAGTGCCTGCAGGTGTGGTGAGGAGCCCAGCCGTGCCCCAGAGGGTGTCACCATGACTAGAGGCACTGTGGGCAGCTAGAGGAAGAAGGCAGGCCTGTGAGATGCCATCTTCATCTTACCGTTCTATGCTTTATTCAAAGAGCCCGCTATGGGAGGTAGTATAATCATCTCCATTGTACATGTGTGGAAACAGGCCAGTGGAGACTAAATGGCCTTGTTGAGATCACAGAGCTCGTAATTGGCAGAACTGACTTCAACCCTGGCACCCACCTCCCAGGGCCCCAAGCTATCTCTTGTTCCATGGGGATGATACATGGCTATGCCCATAAAACTAGGAAAAGGTCTTTTCTCCTGAGACAAGAACCGGGAGGTTGGGGAAAGACTCAAATCTCTGAAGCTTGGAAAGTGGGGACTTTCTTGGCCCTGTAACATCTGCATAAGTCACAGACTTGCCTGGGACCCAAAAACCACTTCCTGTGCCCCAGCGGGTCCCCCCTCCCACCCTGTGCCACAGTAAAGGTCGACACCTGTAGGCCCAGGTACTCCACCCTGCCTGCCCCATTCTGTGCCCAGAACCTCACCTGAAGCTGTGCTGGTGGTAGGGGGTTCAAAGAGGAGGAGGAGGAGGCATGAGTCCCACTGTGGGGGTCCCGGGCCTGGAAGGTTCCTCCTGGGCTCCTGGGTACCAGCAACTCTGAGGCCTTGGGTGTAGCCCTCCAGCTGGGTGAGGCTCCTGGGGATGGGCCGAGGGGCAAGGAAGGGGCCAAGGTCTTGGCTGGTCTGGGGTTGGGCATCAGGTGTTTGTCCAAGGGCAGGCTATAGGGACACAGGGAGAAAGAGTTATGCATGTACTATGGGTGCTGTGAGCTATTCCATCACCTGAGGCACATGGACAGCCTCTGGTGAGAGCAGGTGCTAGTCAGAGCATGTCCTGGAGAGTGCCCTGACTGCACCCCGTATCTGCTCACATGCACAGGTACACAGTGTGATCAGGAACATGGGTAGGTGTGTATCCATATGCTCCACAGGCCTGGGCTCAGCATCCAGCTTGCCTGCATGTGCCAGCATGGCCCTGCTGTCCGTGTGTCCTCACCATGGCCATGGGCCACTGGTTTGTGGGGTTTTAGCCATGGTAGGTCCCAGTCTGTCTTCCCCACTATCTGGGGCCAGCCTGAAGCCCCAGCCTCCCAGTATCCCTTGGACCCTGCATGGGCCACACAGTCTTTGCTGATTTTGCTGGTGCTGGTCTTCAGCTTTCTTAGGGGTTTTGTTATTTTACCCTGTTGGCTTGGGCATGGACTCAAAAGATTCATCTGGCTGCAGTACTAGTGATCTGGCTACTGCAGCAGTCCCAGCAAGTGATAACAGCACCATCTGGGAGAGTGGCAGGGGAGCTGGAGACAAGTGGCTGGAATTTGAGTCTTATTTTGAAGATGACACAGGAAGTTGTTGACATTTTGGATATAAGAGGTGAAAGGGAGGACCAAGGTGACCTCTGGGGTTTAGCTTGAACAGCAGACCACAGCTGACATTACCAATGATGGGGGACAAGAGAGCAAGGCTTACAGTCCATAGGTGTGGATGAATATGAAGAGTCTGGAATTAGACACACTGGTGGATGAGCCAATTTTGGGCAGCTGAATAAAGGAGTATGGAGCTCAGGGAAAGGGCAGGGGATGATTAGCTCTGTTCCTGTCTTGCACGGAGCTGGCATGGCAAGTGCTAGAGGGACAGGCTTTCTTGAGCCGGGGCCTGTGAGACCTCAATTCAGCTCCCATCTGAGTCTTCTCCAAGCCTGGGCTTACGCTGTCCATTGTTCCTGTACCTCATCTTCTCCTTGCCAGGCTTCTGTTCCTGAAAGCCATCATCATGGCTTTAGGCCCCTTTACTCAGCGCTCGTACCTTATCCTCCCCAAAGTGCATAGGCTTAGTTTCTTAGGCTCCTTTGATTCCAGTCAGCAAGGAAGCCAGAACTGGAAGACGGCCCAGTCCAACTTGTGCGTTACTAAAGGAGACACCCAGGTGCAGAGTTCCCTGGATCCATGGCAACTTGCACCTCCACTTTCTCTAGGAAATGTGTGTGCCTGTGTAAATTTAATGTTTCTTGCTCTGGGGTGTGTGTGTGTGACTTCCCATGCCACTACATGGTGTAGCACTAGGGTTGGGCACACAGCTGCTGAAAGCAGCCTGGAGGAGTACAGAGGGCTGGGGAGTCAGTTGTTCTTTTCCTTGCTCATGGCGGTTGTCACAGTTGTGCTGAGGAAGATGGTTGTGACACGCATGTAGTAAATTCCCCGGGAGCTAGAGCTTTAGTGTGAGAAGCAGGAGTCTGGGTCCATGGCGGCTTAGAATCAGGGCCAGGGAGAGCAGTGCTGAGATGAGGGGGTGAGCGAACGGGTGAGTGAAGGCAAGGATGTGATGCTTCAACAAGCTGGAGAAGAGCAAAGATGGCTAGCAAACCAGCAGAAGCTAGAGCCGCGGAACAGAAGATGCTTTCTCACAACCAATAGGAACAACTAGCCCTGCTGACATTTTTTTCCAGGTACTGCGGATGAAACCCAAGGCCTTCACACTGAGCTACACCCCTGGCCGTTTTTTATTTTGACACAAGGTCTCTATGTTGCTATTTTACCCAGGTGAGACTCCAAGTTGTAATCCTCCAGCTTCTGCCTCCCAGCCATGCTGACATTTTGATTTTGGACTTTGAGCCTCTAGAACTTGGGATAAATTTTTGTTATTTAAGCACCTACTACTCTCCAGGTTGTGATACTTTGTTATAGCAGCCCGAGCAAAGAAATGCCCATTTTGGTGAGTGAGTGGATGTTTTCTACCACTTGATCCTGGCCCACATAGCTGGTTCATGGTTACTTCTGGAGCTGCCTGGGCACTTGGCCAGGGTTTTAAGAGCTGCCCTTCCTATATATGTCTCTCAGGAAGGGGACCTGGCTATGGGCCTGGCTGGTAGTGGAGGACCTGGGGGGCCAGGCTGGCCAGCTGGCTTCCTGCACTGTCTGTTGGGGCGTCCCTTTCTGACTAGGTTTCTCAGAAGCTGCATGGAGGATGTTTCTGGGACATAGATTATGTTTTCCTATCGGGGTCTGCATCTGGGCCCTGTTGTCACAGCCCCCGACTTCCCCAGATATTTCCGCCATTGACGTCATGGCGGCCGGATGCGCTGGGCTTCATCGGCTCTAAGGAGGAAGAGAAGGGGGCAGGTACCCCGCCCCATGGGTTTCATTCCGAGAACTGGCTGGCCCATCCTGCAGCCAGCTTGGCCCAGGTGGGGTGATGTGGGTGTTGGCGGATGTGGTGGGTGACGTCCATCTGGCCACTATCGTGAGCCCCAGGTTTTGTAGATCTGGCCTTTTTTGGGCTGCTGATAGACTCTAGGTTGGAAGTTTAGGGAGGGTCAGGCAGACCCCATCAATACTGGGACTCCTAGGGTCTTTAAACAGTACAACCTCAGACTTCAGAATGGTAAGAGATCGTTTCTTGGATTAAATGGATCCCAAGTCTCAAAACTACCAACTTTGTGGGGTCAATGGATTTAACTTATTAGTATGTGTAGACTTGTGTCCCCAGTGTCCAAACTGGAACTACCCGAAGGACAGGAAGCTCACTTGTCACAGGCCTCCTGTGCAGTAGGCCCAGAATGGCAGCAGGTATCTCCTCAGCCTCCTTCTTGAGTCCATGAAGGCAGAAAGTCAGAAGGGACCCTTTCTTTCCCCAAGCCTGAGACCAGCCTCTGCCACCAACTGGCTTTAATGCTCCTCAAATTAAGCTCATGTGTACACTAGGACAGGAGTAATTCCTAAATTCAGGCATATTGAACATTTTGCAAAATGTCCATGTGTGGTAACAGACAAATGGGCCCAGTCTTCCTTGCTGTCTATTCTGGGACAGTGTTCCCCAACTTATAGTACTCTGCCTGAGATGGGGATGGAAGGAGGAGGTTGAAGCTGGTAGGCCTTTGGCCTCCATCATCAGGCTCTCTGGAGGGGCCCTAGGACAGAGGTCCCCAGGGAACCAGTGTCAACTCTGGGGGCACGCAGACTGACTTGACATTCTGTCATTACCACCCCCTGCCCAACTGAGACTCTTGCACCATGGAGCCCAGGGTACCACCCATAAGAGTGCTTGTGAGGCTCAGCTCCATGCCGTGATCGTGGATCATTCTACCCAAGTCAGGGTTCAAGAAGTGAGAAAGAGAAGGGGAAATGGCAGCTTAGATCCCTTTTCACCCCCTTCACGGGTATAGAGCAGTAAACTGAGGCTCATAGTGGGAGAGAAAGAGGCAGAGCCAAGGACTCACTGAGAGTTCTTAAGACCTGAGCCTGGGTCTCAACTCTGCTCCATACTTCTGGAGCTCGCAGGGGGACCCTCCTGACCATATCTGGGCCTCAGTTTTTCCTTTAACAATGGGGAGGGCAGAAGGAGGGAGAAGGCCCTTCTCATTCTCCTTTTAAGTGTCTATAGGGCTTTGAGTTGATGACTCCTGCTTTATCCAGGGGGACACAGAAATGCAGGGAAAGACAGACACAGAAACAGAGAAACAGACGGACATAGGGGAACAGAGGAACAGAGAACAAGAGATTCAGAGAAAGGGAGATAGGAGGTGAGACTGAGATCGACACAGGGTGAGAGACAGAGTGAGAGATAGTAGGAGACACTGAGAGGAAATAGAGTGACATTGAGAGAAATAGAGTAATACAGAGTGATGCAGAGAGAAGACTGCTCCATAAGGAACAGTCACTCACTGCCTTCTGGCTGGAGGCCCTATAGTGCCTGAAACAATTAAGGATAGGGAATAGCAAAGTGCTGGGATTCCCACAGCTGGGTGTTGAATTGTTCTGCAAACACCAACACAAAAGTGGGGTTGGGGAACAAAGACAGATACTGAAGATCAGACTAAGTAGAAAGCTTGGACAGAGACCTGTGTGTAGAGGGAACCGAGTTTGTGATGAATGTAGCATTTCAATATGGAAGACGTTGGAGAAAAGAAGAACAAAATTTTCTGAATTGGGGAAATAATTGAGTGAATAATCAATCCATTTCCCACCAAGCCCTCCCTGTCCTGTTTGAAATGGCATCATTATTAAACTCCAGGTCCGTTACAGAGGTTCACTTTAATGTAGGTCTTGGGTTTATTGTGTGTCAGGCCCTGTACTAAGCACTTACTATGATTAATAGACATAGTCCTCAGAAAGACCCTTTGAGATAGGCACTATTATAATCAGTACAGTGCATATGAGGAAACGGAGGCACAGAGAGATTAAGTGCCTGGCTAAAAAATCACACAGATGACAGGAGTGAGGCTAGTTTTGTCCCAGACAGTCTGGCTCCAATACCCACACTCAACCTCTACAGTAAATGGAAAAAGTGAAGCCATAAAGGAGACCAGAAGCCAACACAGGCTGAACATTTATCTCATTTTCAAGTGGGAAAAGACTTTTTAAGCACAAAACCAGAGGTAGAAACCACACAAGGAAAGATCAACCTATTTGACTACCTCAAAACAGCCTAAGCATCACAAAAACACCATAAACAAATAGAAAAAGCAAACAATGAATTGGGGGAAACATTTGCTATTACACGTGACTGAAACACAGTTAATATTCTTTCAAAATAAAGATCCTTGGTAAAGTAAAAGGAAAAAAGTTGAACTCCCTGCTGGGACTAAGGATTTGACTAGCTCCCCACCCTCCCCAAAAAAGCACAGATGGCCAATAGAATGCAAATTTCAACAATGTGCTAAGGTTTTTCTTGCCTGTTATATTGAGAAAGGCTAAAATATAATATCAACCCAGGATTAGCTCTAATAAAGGGAGTATGAAACAAGACAACTTGGCAGGAAGAACTATTTGCAGAGATAGTCAGAAAGCATAAAAAAAAGTACATTCCTTTTCCTCCAGCATCTTCATTTTTAGGAATCCAAGGACTCAGGCATGTTTATGGGGAAAAAAATCAGACAACCTGAATGTCCAATAATTAGCATTTGTTCTAATTATAATTCCTGCTGATGTGAGGATAGTCATGACGGCCATGAATGATCATGTGTTCAAACAATTTTTAGTGGGATACAAAGTACTATTAATTGGATAAAGCATGAACAAACCAATATATAGCATAGTTCTAATTTGCCAGAGTAAGTTAAAAAAGCTAATGGCTAACATTTAATGCTTACTGTGCACCAAGTACTGTTGTAAGCCTGCAGAGATCATAGTCCCAGCCCTGAATGGTCTACTCTCTTCCTGATATGTATTCTGGTCACATACATGAAGTCCTGGGGCAGGACCACAACACACAGTTGAACCATGGTTGACAATAGCATAAAGTGCTCCCCAAGAGTGTCTCTTGTGATGCAAGCACAAGTTCAGTTAGATGCTCAGCTGGACCTGACAATGCACGATCCTCTAATGGAACAGAAAGAACTGCCACCAATTTTTGTAAAATGGCAATGGGCTCAGAGACACTCAAGTCACAATTAAGCACCAGATGTATATAAAGGTCTGTACTGGATACGGGACGGGAAAAGAGGAGAGGCAAGGAGCTGGTGGGAGAGAGATGGAGGGAAGGCAACAACAGATGGGAGCGTGGCCAAGATGGAGGAGACAGACAACGGGGTCTAGCAGAACCTTGGAAAGACAGAATTAGAGTTTGGGAGAGACAGAGCGACAGTAGAGGAAAGAGCAGAGAACGGTGAAGCTGGGACAGAGAAGGATGGGAGACATTAAGACAGAAGAGACACAGCTAAAATTTCCAGGAACTCCTGGACAGCATTTTAAGTTGTTCAAAACTCGGAAATCCATCAAGACTAGCAGTTGACACATTTCAAAAATCCTGCTATCTGTGTATCAGTGGGTCAATTTCTTGATCTTTGCCCTTGCCCAAACATCAATTAAGTACCTCACCTAGCTGGCATTTATTATGACTAGTATTATTTTCAAAAAGGTCTTACCTGCTTGGGCTCACAGTGGCAGGACACATCCATCTACACAGGCGCCCCCGGCCCCCGAGCCCCCAGTGCCTTTCTCCCTGCCTTCTCCGTGGGGCCACATCTGGCTGAGGAGAGCAGGGACACTCACCTTGGTGAAGTGGACCAACTGAGAAGGATCAGCCTGG